CGGGTTTTGGTCGAGCCCCCCCGACGGCTCGACAGGGTGGTCCTCTTCGGGCGTCGCGGGAAGTGCTCCAGACGGAGCGCGCGGAGGAGTTTGCCAAGGCACGTCTCCCCGCTCTTCGCCTCCCACTGCTGCAGGCAACGCGGCACGGTGTCGAGGAAGGCGTGGAGGTCCTTGGGGATGGGGGAGGTGGACGCGATGACCGTCTCAAGGATCGTGCTCGCGCGCATCCCGACCCCTGCGACGTACGTCGTCGTCGTGCCCATATCAATCGGCAGAGGCCACTGCCGTACAAAGGTGAGCGACGAGGGCAGGAAGCCGTGAATCATGAGGAGGGGAAACTGCGGAGGGGGTACGGTTTCCTTCAAAACGCCCGTCGCTTGCGCGCTGCCGCCATCACCCCTATGACTACTACTACCGCTACTAATTCGATCTCTAATTAAGGCGACCTGCGTGGCGCAGTGTTTTTGGAGCGGATGACATGCTGCGAGGTACTTCGCCGCACAACGCGATGCGAGTTCGCAGTGGTGCTCCGTCTTGCGTGCATCGCATTCACTCCACACGCTGATCGCCGCGATGAGGATGTGGGCGTAGACCAAATGCATCGCGGCGAGCTCGACAACGGCGCTACCAATCAACGATTCCCCTTCATCTGTGTAGAAAGCATCGGTGATGGCGGCGGCGCGGGCCTCGGCCCAGTTCAGGTAGCGCTGCGCGAGCTCGATGCAGCGCGCGACGGATTCCACGGCATCGTCGAAGTGCCCCGCGGCCGTGAACATCGCGGCAAGGTTGTAGAGCACCACGGTGGAAAGCGCACCGCCGGAGGCATATAGAGCGTGCAGCAGCAGCGCTACCACCTCCTTACTCGAGCGGTGCATCGCTCGCCAATGCGCGGCGAGGTTGTTGAGGAGCAGGCAGCGCAGGACCCCTGGAAGCTCCCGTGGGCAGGCCGCCGCTTTCCAACAGGAAAACAACGGAACAGGGATCCCACCGTCTGTCGCCTCCACAAAGTTCGATTTGGGGGATAAAACGTACTGCAGGGCGTGCTCAAAGAGCTCCTGGGTAGTTTCAGGCGGCTCCACCGCCTCGCTGCTGCGCACGGCCTCCCGGTTAAGCAGCAAGACGTACTCCTCGACACAGCTCCAGAGCGGCTCGATCGATTTAAAGTCGCGAAAGGAGCGTCCTTTCGTCTTGGGTCGCCGCTGTTGAAGCTTAATGGCGGTTTCCAGTTCCCTTAACGCTCTCCGAACATCCCGGTCGTGCGCGAGCGCGCCGCGCGCGTGGAGGCGGAGCTCACAACACTCGTTATAGCAGTCGTCCTCATGGTATACGTCCTCCGCGCTTTCAAGCGTGATAGTGGAGGCGGCTGCTCTGGTCGAATCCGTCAACTTTCTCGAGGCCCTTGGACCGCCATGCGTGATCGCCACCGCGGAGTTCTTATTTATTGGGGATCGCTGACGCGTTTTAGAAGGCGTGTTTAGGGAGCTTAGACGCGCACCTACATTTTTAGTGTTCCGTACTCGACGGGTCGTGGGCGATCGGGAAAGTGGAGGATTTGGAATCATTGGGGTCTCAGAAATAAATCTTATCCCCTAGAAATCCCACCTAATGGAGATACGTTGAGCGCCCTCGTTCTAGAAAGTTTTACGCCGTATGGAGCAGAAATTCTACCCTTTAGTAGTCTCTTTTGATATATTTCACTTAAATTTAACTAGAACAGAATCAAAGCTAACAACTTAAAGTAAGTTCTGATGCCTGTTTCCTGGCAATGGTAATATCAAGCACACAAAAAGCAATTGAGAAGAGCGGAAAAAAGTGCAAAGAGTGTCAGACGAAGCCACAGAAATTAAAAGTATGAGGTTTCAACCAGTTATCAGAATTTCAAGTGTATGGAAAAATAAATTTTCCTAAATGAAAGCAAGCCAACTCCGAGGTCCCAAGACCTTTCTTCCTTCCCACGTTACTCTCCCCTCCTAGTAGCCACATACGTGTAAGGCAGCGTAGGCTTCTTAGGATGGATAACCGCTCAAGGTTGCCACACCTTCTCTCGACCAAAAGATCGGGGAAGAGGCCAAACCCACATTTCAAGAAAAAATACCTGATTACCGTCTTTCCCCAGCCCCCGTTAGCGATGTGGCGGGTTCCACGCCCACTGCGCGACCTCTATCGCCATCGTCACGAGCGGTTTATGATCGACCGTGGCGCTGATCCACGGGATGGGGATCTGCCGGGCACCAAACCTCGCACCGAGGAGCGCACCGACGAGCATCGCGCGCTGGCAGACGCTGCCTCCTGCGCGCACCGCCTGGACGACGCCCTCCGCGAAGCTGCGGGAGGTCCTAGAAATCGCAAACGCCTCGCGCACAACCACGGCATCCTGGAGTGGAGACCGAATGGGGAGGAAATTGATCCCTGCTGACGCTTTTTGGTCGATCGGAAGCGCCTTCTTCACGTGAAAGGGATCCGCCGGGGGCGGGGGATCGCTGCTGGCGGGATTAGGGTTGCCAATAACGCCATCGCCCCCCCCAATTGCTCGCCTCACGAGCGGCGGGCAGAAGGCGGCTCTCGCCTCGTTGAAGATCGCAGCCGTTCCGGGAATCGCCATGAAGGCCGCATTACGCTCGGGATCAGGGTTACTCTGCAGGTAGCGAAGCACCACGCTAAGGGCGCTTTTCGTGAAATCGCGAACGGCACCTCGCCCTGCCTTCGCGAGCTCGGCTGCATCGCCGGCCTGGAGCGAAGACGTGGAGGGCGGGGGCGTGGTGAGGGAATCGATAAACGGATCCACATACGCCCGTAATGTCTCATCACTAGCGTATGGATAGATTGTCGGGACGGGTAGCAGCGTGCAGAGCGTGTGGAGGAGGGAGCCGTGCTGCTGCGCGAATACGAGCCCCGGGTGCACGCGATGAGAGGCCTCCACCCATAACGGCTCGACAAAAGAAACCGGAAACTCCCCTCTCGTCGCGCTCATCGTGCGCAAGAGCCCAAAGTACAACATGTAGCTGAAGGAATGATCGACAAGGGGGCTACGCCCGCGCTGCTGGCGAAGCTCCCGCCAACCTTCATCGCTTAGCGCAGTATGGCCGCGAAGATCACTTTCATTAACATTCGCAAACACGACGGGAGACTCCTCGACCGCCTTGCGCCCTCTACCGTGCGAGGTGATATCCCCATCACGGCTGCTTTGCAAGGCCGATATTTCGTCGGCACTGAAACCTTCCAAGGCGCGTGCCGCTGCATCCGCCACACTCACGCCTACGAGCAGCCCGACCTGCTTCTGCTGAATATCGCTGAGCTGTTTGAAGCTGTTTTCATAAAAATTCCTCGCTACTGGTTTCGGATTGTGCGAAATTAAACCCACCATGTTGCGATACCTTATTAGTTATTTGTTTTGTTTTTTTTATCTACAAATTGTATCTGGGACCTTGTCCACTCTAGATCTTCCAGAAACTTGGGTTGTTTTTTCTTTCTTCCCCCCTCCCCCCCCTACTGTAGCCCTTCTCCACAGTTACGGAAGTCTCAGTGTGAAATAAAAATTGAGACAAAGTAAGAAGAAAAAAATAATGCAATAAATCATGTTATTGAGTTCAATAGATGTGATCACTCATTCCATATAGTAAAATCCATTTTAGTATCATTGGTGGTAGTAGGAATGATTCGTATGTAACAAAAAATTCGAATCTGGAATGCGCTTGGAATGTGTGTAAGAGTGAATTGCGCATGACCACAAATACCTAAAGATCGGGTAGACTAATAAAAGGACGAAAAAAAACGTTAATCAACCACCCACTTTGTTTGTAAGCAGTACAAGAACTTTAGTGGAATAGCGCTGGGACAGGATTCCATTTCGCTGAAATAGTACGATAAATGGACCCCGAACCATACACAGATATAATGCTATATTTCTAACTGCTCACATCGAATAACCTACACTTTCTCCATGAGAAAGAAAAGTTGTTCATTCATCCATCGTTACCTTCCTTTCTCTATTTTTTACGCAAGATGATTAGATGCTCTATAAAAGCAAAAAAAAAACGATATCAAGGGAACATTCCCGTGCTAATATTTAGCGCATTCTTTGCTTTCTTAAAGCAGAAACAAAGTCACCAAGCCGCTGGTATATTAATGTATTACAGCTCGCAGAATTATTATTACAGGGCAAACCTCACATGTATTATTGTGGTGAAATAAATGAATAAATAAACACATAAGTACAATCGTAACTATCAAAGCGGCTCCAAGGAAATTAACTGAGACCATTCACATTATTGAGAAACAATACGCTGCGTCGCACCTCCGCCAAATTTTGAACGTAACAATAATAATAATAATGGCTCAAGGAGAGAGAAAATCTACACCCGAAAAAAAATGAGGTTCCGAAACCAACATGTAATGCGGTATGCACCGAGGTACCCCCCGCCTTTCACGCGCCTCGTGCGTATTGCTCCATAATCTCATCCATTGCCTTTTCGGGATCCACATGCTGGCTAAGACGCTGCTGACGCATGAAGCTCTCCATAATACTACGCATCTCACGTGTTTCATGACGTAACTCCACCACCTCTTTGCGCAGCTGATGTACCTCCTGACGGTATCGATTCTGCTCAGCTATTTTGAGGCGCCCTAAACAGCCCCGCCCGCAGCGCTGCAAAATCAGAATATACACCTCGATAGACGATACGAACTCATCATACCCTGCCTTAAGCTCTCTCCACGCTTTACGCGAAACGTAGCCACGGTAGACACGCTGAATATTCGTCGCGGCACGGCGCTGCTCGCGGCTTGCCATTGCACGAAAGTGATCGAGATCCTCCCACATCGTCATCATCACCTCCTGCAAGGAGCGCATCGTGTTGACGACCTCACTCATCCCAGCCGCACAGCTCTCCATCTGCGCTAACTCCCCTTTCTTTGTCACCGTTGCCACCTCACGATCAGCAAGAGAAGTTGCCGCTGCGTTAGAAACCATGCGTGCCGTTTCATCCGAAGCAGCATCATTCAGATGCTGAGTGGCGCAGTCACTATCAAAGGTCTTGGTTCTATACGCATACCACTTTCTACGAGCTATTTGCGAGCGTATCGCCCGGCAGTACTCCTTTTTCTCCTCGGTTAACCGCTTCCACGCAAACGCGGCACGCACGTGGCGTTGAATCGTAATAGCTGCCCGGTTTCTACGGGCTATATCCTGTTTCCAGAGGACCTGAACCACATCTGAAAGGGAACGCAGCTTGTCCTGGATTGCACGCAATATGATGGCGACGGGCGCCGTGCGCCTCGTCTGGGCTGCGACGGAAGAATTCACGACCAAGTGTTTCGGCTCCAAGGATGGGATCCGACAATCGTCGGCGGTTTCTACAAAAAACGACCGTTGCGTCGCGATCGAGCTTCCCCCCCCGCCCCTCACAGCACCGTTAGAAGCCTCGAAGGCCTTGCGCGGCTCCGCCGGTGTTAAGAACCCTCTCCCTTGCTCGAGGAGGTAATCCATCAACTCCTTTTGAAAGGATGGATTCATAAGCTTCAGAAGCCGCTTTGTCAGGGCACCGCGCTCGCGGAAGAGCCGCAGCGCGACCTGCTGCTCCGGCCAGGTGTACCCCACCCCGTCCAGGCTCATCGTCAGCGGCAGCAGCCAGAGCACAAAGGGCCGCCACCACCCCGCTGGCTTCCCCCCTCCTGCTGCCACCGCGGTGAAGGGGTTACCGTCGAGCTCGACCTGGCGAAGCGCCGCGGCGAGGGCGCTGAGCCCGACCAGCCCGCTGACCCCTCGTATTCGGTTGTGGGAGAGCCGCAGGGTGTGCAGCCCGAGGAGCGGCAGCCGCGTGTCGAGGCCGGTGAGGTCCTCAAGGTGGTTGTGGGAGAGGTCCAGCAGCTGCAGGCTCAGCAGCGCGCGGAGGTCCGGCAGCTCCACGAGGCCGTTGTGCGCGAGGTCAAGGCTCCGCAGCCGTGTCAGGCCCCGCAGCGGGGACACTGCGGCCCCATCCAGGACGTGCAGGAGGTTGTGACGGAGGTTCAGCACCTCGAGCGCGGGGAAGGCCTGAAGGCCGTGCAGAGAGCTAATCCGATTCTGTGACACATCGAGCGTCGTGATGTCCTGGACGACGGTGCTGAGGGAGGACTCAGGGCTCACGACGAGGGAGGTGAGTTCTAGTTGAGAGGCTCGCAAGACGCGGGCCCGCTCCAGGGCGGAGGGATCCCAGCCGTTAGGCAGGCTCACTTCCCCAAGCTCGCCTCGCGGCTTGGCGGCGGCGGTTGGGTCTAGTGCATGGCTGGTGGTATTCATCTAAATTGGGGGCCTATTTTGTGAAGGGGTGATTTTGCTTCACTTTAATAATATTAAACTATACAATATGCTGGGAATTTTTCCCCACCAACTTTGAAAGGAAATAAAAGCGAGTGTTCCACCTTACCGTTCCGATGGTATATACAGTCAGTTCTACGAAAGCTTGACTCGTGCAACGAAAAAATAAAGGTGATGATAAGAAAGAGAAGTAGTGAGTAGAGTAAAAAGGCGAGAACTGTCAAGACGGTTTGAAACTATAATGATAGAGCAACAATGGATGGAGAAACACTTGAATAGTTCAGTCCGGAAATAAGCACCCATATATGGTTAATAATTTTATAGGAAACTCTTACAGACGGAGAAAAGGAAAGCATATCAGCGCTTAGTTAATTTATCTGGAGTCCTCATAGGATTCTTAGTGAGGAACCACTTTCCTTCTTGGGAAGATGAGGGGAGGGGGGTCGTTGTTGTCGCCTATATATGCATCTATATATAGATTTGAATGTGTACACCCATATTTGCATTCATATCATGATTCTTTTCCTGCAGGACGGGTGAGGGTTAGATTCTGATGAGTGAATGTCACCCACCTCCTACAACCACGTATCCGAACTCTAAGGCAAAAGGAGAAAAGTGCATATCTAGAAAAAGGGGAAATCTCAGCCTACGCAGAGAACCAGCCTCACTTTATACTTCCATTCCCCTGTCCTCCCCCCCCCCCCCCCCCCCCTTCCTCCGTGTTGTGTGTCGCCTAAACCAAAATCTCCAGCTCGTACCGCTCAAAAGTGTGGCTTTCGTCATGGCTCAAACGCGGATAGTATGGTACAAGGCCTTCAGGGCTGCCCATGTAGATCATATTATACGTGCGACGGTAAATATCGCGCACCTTCTTCGCTGGGTGAAAGAGTCCTTGCAGCAAATACTGGAGCAACCTCCCAGATCCGAGCACCAGCCGTGCGGCCTCGTAATAACTTACTACCGCCGTGACCATCTTCAGCCGTTCGCCGGAGATCTGCGTTTCGTTTTTGGAAATCAACTCCACGATGTTGGGATGAATGAAATTCAAAAAGTGTATCGCAACGTCCTCAAAATCGTTCTGCCCGGCGACGGAGAAGATAACGGCCTGGCAGGCCTCTACCGCCATTCGCCGCATCTGAATACTCGTCTCCGTCAGAGAGCGCTCGAGGAGTGGGATGAGAGCGTGAACGTAGTCCCTTCCCGCGGGGCCGATGCTCTGAAAGATGTAGCGAACGGCTTTTAAGATGGCGTGCTGCACAATAACGGCGACTTGCTTCCCCTCACTCAGTTTATACTCGTTAAGGAGGTAGGGGATGACGGTGAAGGGGCCGCACTCCTTCGCGATCGATGCCAGCGCCACGGCGGTGCAGACGCGAATCTTTCGCTTATCCTGGCTGAGCTGGTCGACCAGCTCGAGGATAATCGCGAACGGGCGAATCACACGGGCGATGATGCCGAAGGTGCGGGTGCACGCCCGCCGCGTCTCCCGACGCTCCGCATCAAGTAGCTCGAAAAGCCCTTTGGTCGCCAGTTCGTAGAGATGAATCGCCTCGACGTCGTCCTCGTGGTGCGTGGCGATATCCTCGATGAGCGCGATGGCGTTTTGCTGCACGATGTTGTAGCGGTTCTTGATCACAAAGGTCATCTTCTTCAGCAGCTCCCGGACGGAGGGCTTGTAGCTGCGGGAGCCGAGCTCGTGCAGAAGGGCCCGGGTTGCGCGCAAATTCGCGCTCAAGGCGTGCGCGTTGTCATCCTCTAAGCGCTCGTACAAGCTCCGCCCAACGTCTTGCAAGAAAATGACGCCCTCGGCGAGCACGACGGCGTGCGCGATGCTCGCGATGAGCCCCGCGGCCTGCGCCCGCACCGGCCCCTCCCGGCTCTCCCGGCGGCGGTTAATCAGGTCGAAGAGCTGCTTCAAATACGGCCGCAGACGGGGCCCGAGGGAGTTGCAAATCGCCGCCAACCCGGCGGAGACGACGCGGTTGGTGCCCACCTCATCCTGCCGCACCGCCGCGATCGCGCCGTCGAGCAAAAACGCCACCAAGGAATCCTCCGCCGCGGCCGTCCCTGCCGCCTCGACGACGCACCGCACCGCGGTGATCACCATCCGCTGGTAGTGCTCGTTCTCATCCTTCATATCCCGCACGAGCTTCAGGAGGATGTCGACGCTCCCGAGTTTCCGCGAGAGCTGCACGGTCGTGTCGATGAGGATCGCGGAGGTCTTTCGATCCGCCGCGACCTGGCGGACCTGCCAAAACCCTTCAAAGAAGGGCTCGAGGATGACTTCGCGAATGAACGCGGCGGTCACGCCATCCGCAGAGACGCAATTCCGCACCACCTGCAGCAACACCCGGCGGTACTCCGCCTCGGGGGTGTTGAATTGATTCACAAGGGTCGGCATCATCGCGGAGGTGCGGGCCTCCGCGTCGTACGGCGCCATCAAAGGGACGAGCGCGCCAAAGGCTTTCAAATACGGCGCGTTGGAGATCCCCATCCCCTTCCGACAGACCTCCGTGATCACCTCCACGACGGGCGCGAGGTCTTGGATCCCGTACGGGGCGACGGCCTCGGCGACGGCCGCGACGGCGAGCGCCGCGTCGTTGCGTACCCGCTTTTCATCCCGAATCAACCGCTCGAGAATCGCCACCACGTCGGCGAGAAAAGGCATCAACCCGTGGCCGATTAACCCAGCGAGTTCTGTGATCACTCTCGCCACCGTCTGCCGTGCGAGCGCCGTCGGGGCGTAGGAGAGATCGCGCAGCGCGGGAAGGAGGGGTTCGGCGCCGACGGCGAACCCCACCAACGCCGCCACGCTCGCGGTATGGCGTCGAACGATGCTCTCCTCGTGCGCGAAGTCGATCTTGATCGCGTCGAACATCGCCTGGTAGCCGACGACGCGGGTGAGGAGGAGGAGGACCTGCCGGCCATCCTCCCGCGTCGCGGGCTCCTGCGCGGAGAGCAGCGGCTCCATGAGGTGGATGACCTCCTTCGTGGAGCCCCGCACCCCGACCCCGAGGTGCGCGATCAGGGCCTTGATGAAGTCGATAAAGTTGTGCGTCTCCTTCAACCCCATGATGTTCGCACTCCAAATCGTGAACATCCGCTGCAGGATGAAGTTGATCCCCAAAAGACGGGACTTTTCGAGTAAAAAGTGCGTCCCGCTACGACGCTGGCTCGCGTCGCCGTTCATGATTTTGAACAGATTCTTCATCAACAAATAGGAGGGCAGGTTCTCATCCGGGATGGGGTCGACGTTGTGGTATTTCAAGAGCTCCACAAACACCGCGGCGTCCTCCGGGCGCATCGTCGGCATTCCTTCCCCAAGACTTTCGGGGATATCGTAAACCACCGGCGCCTCCGAAGCAGCCGCGGCGCCGCCGCCCTCGAGGGTGCCGGGGGTCGCCGCGGAGAGGTTCCCCGCGATCCCCGCCGCGAGCGCCTCCGCGTTCATCGCCTCCCTTGCCATCACATAAAAATTCGGTTCCTGTGGGGGTGGGGGGTTGTAATCGGCGGGCACCGGCACCACCGTGAAGTACGCCGTCGGCAACACCCCTTCCAGGTACTCCGCGGTGAGCCGGCGATTCTTCAGACGCCATTCCC